AAGCATTTCATACAAATATAACTCAAATCCAAAATACATTTTGTAGTCAAACAGAAATTGAGGAGATTTTAAATGAATGGCTAAAGTATGAGGACATAAGCCATTGAAGACTTTTGTATTATATTATAATAAATATAACCGGAAAAAAATCTTATTCACCAAAAAACTTAGCAATAGATTCATAATATTGTTGTAATAAAAAGTAAAATATTGACCCAAAATAACAATATAAATGCAATTGTTATACAAAAATCGCCGCCGGAATGCATCCAATCATAGAATATATTCTTTTAAAATAACTTATGTATCGAAAAATAAGTTTATATATTGTCTCACATTGTATTGATTGAGACAACGAATTGAGAAAATATATGTTATATCCAAACAATAGTACAGTTGTGGTGAGGGTTTGCCTAAACAAATCAACACAGATATCATGGTATTTATATACAAACATTACAATTCTGTGGGTTTGTGTTATAAACAATTTAATTTCAACTCAAAATAAAGGTTATAATAGTAATTATGTGTATCATTTTGTACGGAATATTCTGGTGTATATTCTTAAAAATATTAATTTCTTAATATATTATCTGTTAAATTATGCCAATATCTTGATGATTTCTATAGTGTATCTAGATCCTTTTATGAAAAACTATACAAAATATCCGAAAAAGTGTTGAAATATACCGTAAACAGCAATAAGCGTATAATTTTTGATTTATTGTGTAAAACAAAAAGTCAAACATAAAAATCTCATCACAACTGAAAACCTATGGTTTTGTGAGAATAACTCTTATATGAAAAGCCGAAAAAGTTTTATAACTTATATATATTTGCAATGTTTTCTTATGATTTATGTTATAATATACGAAAAGATCAATCAATTTGTCGACGACTTCAGTGTCATATCATTCACGATATCATCAATTTTTGCACTAAAAATCTCCACAATTAATCTTAAACTCACATAAAAGTATGCTAGCTTATAACTGTAAGGTTGACCACAAATTAGCTCACAACAATTTTCAAACAATTAAAATTTACGATATCATCAATTTTTGCACTAAAAATCTCCACAATTAATCTTAAACTCACATAAAAGTATGCTAGCTTATAACTGTAAGGTTGACCACAAATTAGCTCACAACAATTTTCAAACAATTAAAATTTCTAACCTTTAATCTTGATGACTTTAATCTATTTGCACAAACTCATCATGGCAGTTTATAGAGCATTATTTTGTTTATTTAAAACTATACTGATGCACATTCTACTTCCTAAACTATACGACATTTTATCTTAACATAAGTATAACATACTGTAATCTTATAAATATATTTCACCATGGTTATGTAACCTCTACGACAGTACCCTATTCTAAAAGTTATGTCAAATAATATGTTAAAAACTTCGGTTAAGTGTTACAAACTTTAATATGGTAAACAAAAATGAGACAGGTGCACCCTGGGTATGTGATTGTGATCATATGAATGTTGCAAACAATGGTTAGATTTTAAATTAAAGATTTAAATCATTTCAAATTCAATATTAAACTCAATTTGAACGCAAACCCAATGAAACAGTGAATGGTTTGCGAGTCTGTGAGACACACAGTGTTAGCGCTGTTTCACGCATTCGGCGCACACTTCAACGCAAACTCAAACTCACTGTCAGTTTCAGTCATAACATAGCGTTGTGTTGACCGCACGTGCACTCAATCACACCATTTGTCACCACTTATTATCGCCACTTATCTGATCCACACGACCACCAGTCATGCCGAAAGTGGTGTCCCGTAGTATCGTCTGCAGCGACAGCAAGGCTGAGGAGGAATACAGCGACGACAAGACACTGAACGTCTACTACTGTCTGTGCGGACAGTTGTCACTGATTTTGGACACACCTATGGATCGGCTGCCGCTGCGACAGAAAGACATGTCGCGTGTGATCGATAGTCAGCGACACGTCTATAAGCTATCGGTGGACATGGAGGCAGCCGAAGACGTGGTATATCTGCGACGAGACGCAGGCGTCGAGAGGCAGTACCGGAGAGGGTGTCGCAAGTGTGGCCTAAGACTGGTCTACCAATTGGAGCGCAAGTCGAGCGTATACTTCGTAATGAATGGCGCGATGGTGTCCAACACTCGGGACGCGTTGACTCGTATGGCGACCTCCGCGGCGACCGCCGTCACGGATCAGAAGCGAAAGATCACCAAAAGGACCAAAGATATGGGCAAATTCAGTTCAGTCACGGTCTCCACAGTGGACGAGGAGGAGGATGAGATCGAGGCCCGGGAGGTGGCCGACAGTTACGCCGCCAACGCCCGCATCATTGAGAAACAGTTGGAGAGGAAAGGGATGATTAAACGCAACAAAACCGATGTCGTCGTCGAGGAGACCGCCGCTAAACCCAAACCCAAGGGTACGCTCATCGACAAAGTCTTGTAGATTATCACCCATTAAGACATTCCCACTCAAGACATAACTTACCACCACTTATGACATGATATAACCGCTTGTTTTGTAAATAAACGCTAACTTTATTTCATTATAAACTTTGTATCATAATTGCGATCCAATAATAAAATGTATATTAATTTTGATTTATTATAACTTTTGCGGCAATTATTGAGTAAATCAGAGATTATATACTAATTAAAAGACAATCAATAAGTGATTGAATTCATAACAAAGTGTTTTTTGGAGTAAAAAACCCGAACTAAACGCCCGTTAAATGGCATTATTGGGAGTAAAAAGTGTCGGAACCGTCCAAATGCTAAGTACCCGAACAGCCGGCGCTACACAAAGAGGACGAGGTCTTTGGACTTGGCCTTCCGGAAGGCGCTCAGTATGGAGTCGTAGATGGCATTATTAGGAGTAAAAAGTGTCGGAACCGTCCAAATGCTAAGTACCCGAACAGCCGGCGCTACACAAAGAGGACGAGGTCTTTGGACTTGGCCTTCCGGAAGGCGCTCAGTATGGAGTCGTAGACTACCGGCGCCTTTAGGGACGCGTCCACCGACTTATGAATGCCTTTTTTCTGGTAGTAATCAATCAACGGCGCCGTCTGCTTATGGAAAGCCTCTAATCGGGTCCGAAGTGCATCCGGATTATCATCGGATCGCCTCTTAAGCGGTTCTCCAGTGATCTGTAAACGCCACACAAAATGATTACAAAAAATGGTTAAAACTGTGGAAAAAAGTTGATAAACAAATTGATTACATCGTCAGTCATGGGCTTCTTCGGCGGATAGAACTCTTCATGATATGTGCGACCACTCGGCTCGTGAAGGAGTCGACCGCAGATGCGCTTCACCAGCAGCTCGTCGTCGATACTGAACTCAATGACGGAATCGATTTGTGTTTTCCTTTTCTCCAGCAATAGATCCAACTTTTTCAACACAACACAAACACACAGTAGTGATCATCACTGCACAGCTGTTCTCAATGGCATACCTTTTGCGCCTGTCCTATAGTCCTTGGGAAGCCGTCCAACAGGAATCCATTGGCGCACTCTTTGCGGTCCAGATTGGTCTCAATGAGACGGATGACGAGCGAGTCGTCCACGAGTTTGCCGGACTTGAGCACTGAATCCACTTCTTTGCCCAAAGGGGTGCCGGCCTTCACCTCCGCCCTCAGGAGGTCTCCGGTGGCCAACTGACACACACCGAAGTCTCGCTTCACGTTCTGAGACTGAGTTCCCTTACCAGCGCCGGGAGGGCCCATGAAAATCGCGTTAATACCCGACTGTTGCCGCTGATAGGCATGACTGGCCCTCCAGTTCCCGATCAAAGGTTGATCTTTGGTTGCGGTCGCGACCATCACTTGTCCACCACTTTGTGATTAGCCCTTTAAAAACAGTCACAAAAAGTTTGTGTCAATGATAGCAAAAAATTAGCATAAAATCAATGCATTACTCAATCAAATCGATACCACACTATATATTTGTGGTTATATTTAATGATAACTAATAAATATAACAAAAAACTATTTATTACTAAAAATTTTAACGTAATGTAAAATCACTTGTTTTGCGAGTGAAATACAAATCATTAGTTTGTCTCATAAACTCAACAATGAATGGCATGTAAGGCGACACTTATTGGCCCACAAATGTATTACACATCAAGTTTTCACACAAGTATTTCACATTCAATAAACTTTTATTCATTTAACTTTAATTGTCAGGGTATAAAACGTACAAAATACAGTATTTTAATAATACGTGAATAACAGTAAAGATTTGATAAAAGTTTGGATACTAATGGCAATTATGGGAATAGATATATAAATTATAATAATAATTGAACAATACTTTAAATCGTTTTATAAATGCGATAATAAGTAGAATATAAATTAATGTCTTTGAAATGCAATGACTATCACGTGTGTGTGTGAGAGTATGACTGTCCAGTGGACAGATGTCTGTGACCACTGCCCCAACTACTCGTCCTCTTCCTCATCGAAGAGTGACTCCATGCGAGACCAGTCGAACTCCATGTGCGGGCCGTTGAATATGATGTGAATCGTCATCTCTTGCGTGTACTTCAAGTCACTCAACAGTTTCGGTGAAAACAGGAAGTATTGACTGTTATTACTGCTGGACGTCTCGGATATCAAGTCAAACACCGAACGCTCATTATTCTCATCCATTCCCTAATCGATAGCACCGGTAGGTTAGACTCATAAAAGCCAATGACACAAATCATTTGAATACCTGATTGATCTCATCGACGCACCGGAAGGGAACTTTAGTCAACTCCTGAATGGCTATCATGTATATCATTGTGGAGACACTGCGTTCCCCACCGGACTGATGGAATGACGTCAACTCCCGGAGCTGTTCCGTCTCCCGGAACTTCACTTTAATGGAAATGCCGTACTCATCGAACTGGTCCTAAACGGCACAACCGTTTCAACACAAAAATATGAATAACTTTTACCGAAAACATTGTGTATTGAAAGTGAATTACCAGATCATTGGGCTTAAAGAGGGCCACTTCACCGGCGCAGTTGAGTCGAGCCATAAAATTGCCGAAATTGTTGTTAATCTTATCGATGAGCAGTTCGAGTGCCGGCAGCCACTGGTCCTTCAGCTCATCCAACTGCCTCTGCTTCGCAGTCATCTCCGACTTCTTTGCGTCCAAATCGCGACGCCTTTTCTCGATATTCCTGCGCCGCTCGTTGTACTGGTCTCTGACCGAGTCGTCCGCGTCTAAGATGCTATTCATCCGCAGCCGAAGAGTTCCCGACTGGTTGTCGATCTCTTCGACGGTATTGGGCATCGCGTCGAACCGTTGCCGCACTTCATCCGAACAGTTGTTCACATCGAAGCCCGAGATCTCTTTGGCCGCATCTCTCAGCTCTTTGGCCGCTCTTTTCAACACATCCAGCGACCGCTCCAGCCGTTTGAGCTCCTCTTTGATGTCATTGAACTGATTGGAAGCGTTGGCCAACTTCTTCTCGGCCTCGGCCTTGCGTTTCATCACAAATGTCTCGTTCAAAATGGCTTTCAGTTTGAGTTGATTGAGTTGCGCGCATTCGGTCACTGTTTCCACCAATTGGGCCATCAGTTGCAGCTGAAGATCTTGGAATCGCTGCAACTTTTGCTCCACTTTTAGCTTTTCAGTCGCCAAATCGATGGCGTGATTGTCGAGTCGCGAGATTTGCTCCCTTTTCTCCGCCATTTTGGTCTCCAAAATCCTTTTCTCATTCTTCTTGTTCTCCAGAACTCGCTTTTTATTCTTCATTTCATTCAACCTATCGTTCAAATCGGCGATCGTTTTGTCCACTTCTTCGCCCTTTTTGCGAATATCTGTTATCTTATCCGTCAAATGGATAATCTTCTGCTTAATGTCCGCCAATTGCTTCTCATCGATAGTGAGATTCAAATACTTGGCCACAGGAATGGCTTGACTGTGGGTCACCTTCTGTTTGTCATAACGCGAGACATTGATCACATGCATCACGTGATCCGTATAAAGGCGTCTGAAGTTGGAGTTCGACATCAGATTCTCCAACGACTGCTCCGTCTTGTGGTCGCCGACCGGTATGTTATGGAGTGCTGCGGACTTACACAGGAATGCCATCACTTTGTCGGGCGCTGTGAACATGTCCTTAATGGTGGCGAAGATGCCGTACCTCTTGAAGGAACTGATCTCAAAGTTTGGCACAAAACTGTCGGCGCTCTGCGTGGGCGCCAACACCACATTCACCCTAATGTTGAGCTCTTGCTTAAGACATTGGGTGAAGATCTTGAGGTCATCGCCATTCTCGCAGATGAACGAAATCAAGTCATTCTTACTGATGGCTGACTCCACATACTTCGCCCATTCAATGCGATTCATATTGATTTGTGTCATAATTGGCGGATATATTCTTCCGGTGAAGCGGTTCTCGTTCTCTTTGAGCCA